TATCACGTACGTCGAGATTTTGGTTCCACGGTCGAATGCGTATAATTCTATCGCGGAACATAAACGTTTTTTTTTCGGATCGCCCACAGTGTCTAGTCATAAATGATTGTAGAACGTATTTATTTATTTAATAATAAAGTACAAGAACATTAAAAATCATGAACCTTATACGCATTTACCAAATTAGGAAAACTTTAATAAAATAAAAAAAAAGAGATACCGTCATCAGTAGGCGGAAAATTATATAGTATATTATAAAATGTGTTGTGTCGTGTAGGTAGTTTAACCTTCATTTATTTAATATTAAAAAGTAAATCTTTCGATATCTTTTTAAAAACAAAAACAACAATAAAAATGTTCTTTTTGTCTATATTGTACTATTCGTTCTAAATACGTTTTATACACCTGTCAAGTTATCGTAGAAATATATAATAGTGCGCGGTTAACGCTGTGTTTATAATTAAATATACTGTTCAATAGCTCTGTACAATACAATATATACAAATACAATAATATACTACGTTGGATTGACAGCTGCGTGCGTTATTTAGTATAAACGGGAATTTTTAAAACTATTTTCCACCACAATGATTGAGACAATACGCATCAATTTTTCTACTACAATTTAAGAAATCAATAACACATGTTATTAAAATCCAAATAAAACAGCGTTTTTCAAACGAGTTCTAAAACCGAATTACTATTGCTCGCACGACTCAATATAAACACTATAAAAAAAAAATAAAAAATACGCGTCATACGAACGAACCACACGATCATCTTTATACTACATAAATTGTGTATGTATATAGTGGTTATATTAGGTATATATATATGTGTGTGTGTATGTGTGTGTGCGCGTGTGTATGTATGTATTCAAAAAGTAAATACTTTACACGTGAAAAACGCTATACATGTATCAGCAATTACAATTATAACGACCTACTGACGTTGTACTGTATATACGATCGATGTTCGTATATTATTGTATAGACTGTTCGCCATCACTCATCACTTATCAATTATATCAATCACCATATTATACGCATTGTATGTTACAGGACAAAAATACCACTTAAGATTATAGCCAATACACACTCACTCACATAACATATAATACACAGGGACTCAAGTATAGGTCGCAAACGGAGAAAAATGACGCCACTAGGTATTTTTGACCCGAACTGCTGGGACAAGCAGACCTTGTTCCGATCGTCTATCGTTAATAATATCAAACATCGTATTCGGCGCTCCGATCTCCGATGGTATCGGTTATTTATTTTTACGATATAAATATTTTAAAATAAAACGGCCCAAAGATATAACAACTATATACTCATAATATATACCGTCTATATACACCTATGCGACTATCCACGATAAATCACGGTATAATGCCGCGTGCCTCGAATATTGTTCGTTGTGATAATAATATTTATAACGACACACATGCGTCGTACTATAATTCATAAGATGTAATATTTTATATGTAGGGTAGTACACACTATATACGCATTGTTGTATCACAAATTTGTGTCTTGTATTTCTCGGGGAAATCCGTTCGAAAAAGGATTTCACGCGCGTTAAAAAATGTACGTGACATTAACGATGGTTTCGGAGCGATGACGATAGCCAGGATTACGTCGAAAATGACCGTTTAATTGAAATTCCTGCAGACCCTAGGATTATTCCCATAATGTACTAGGCTGATGACAAAAACACCACCCTTCTATAATAATATTATATATTATATTAAAGTATTATTACGATCATATATATACATTCACACACATACAAACCGTGACTTCTAACAGATTTATTTAAACACCGCGATTATACACAATATGTGTCGTGGTATATAGGAGAGTATAATTACGTTTATTCGTTCGCCTTCCACGTACACGGCGGACAGCGCGCCGGCCAGTCATCCGTGGAAATCCTTGGGTACTTCCTTTTGGTAACCATCCACACAGAACGAAACCTTACAAGGTAATGCACCAGCGCAGCTCTGCCTCTCGCAGTCACTGCGTCGCCGCTATCTGTTTCTCTCGTTTTCTCTGCAGTATAGGTACAGCATACGAAATTTTTAGACCCGGGTAGCGGTTACTAACCGCGAGCGACGTACATTGCCACGTTCAAGCAACCCTCTCCAGTGGCGGCTGGTTAAACGTCAAGACGACGCGACCGCTAGTCACCGCACAGCTGTGTACTTATCCTGCAATATTAACATCCGAATAAATTACACGCGCATGAGCACACGCGTATAATGTTCCAATCACGGAAACACGACAGATACGTTCGGATTCATATAATTAATACTTTGCATACATCATCGTGTGTGTAGAGGTACACATGTGCCGTACGTCTATATCGGTAGTATAGGTATACCTACACAGTTATAACGTATACCGATTCTTTCCTTAAATTTTGATTCGTTCATGTTTAGTCGGCTATCGAGAAAAAAAGTGACTATAATACGTCATACGCGTAACGATCGCAATAAATAATTATGTTCGGTGCCAAACTCACTATTGTTATCATAATAATTATTACTGCAATATTGTGCTGTGAACCTATATACATATTACGTGCATATTAGTTATACACATGCTACTGAGTACTGAATAGGAAATACGTGAATGGGATCATTATCTTAATAGGTGGTCGTGTTATTCGTTGATTACAAATTATTGTTACAGTCGATATAGTAGATCAGTAGATGAGCATTATTATGATTTTTATATTCCAGCATTATACTATATTATAGGTACACGATTACAATATATATAATATCAATATACGCATTAGTGGTTATTTTAAAAATGTTCACGTGCACATAAGCTTATACGATTTTTTAATTACTTTATCAGTTATCAGTATTATATGTTTTTACCAATATTAAAATAATTAATTTACCTACCAATCGATTCAAACAGCTATAAAATTATTATTTATCTATATATTTTTTAATTTAAACCAATGCTATGAGATAATAATATTTCTTTATTAAAATTTTATGGGTATAAATCGAGTTGTTAATTTAAGTTGGAAATAAGTATTTTTATTATTTTATTTTTTGATGTTTACGAGTAATGCAAATCGTAATAAGCTATTTTTTTATAATCAAATTAAATGCTTACAACAATAAACGTGTGAACAAGATTAGGTAAGGTTAGGTAACAATTTAAGTTTTTCAATCATTTGAATATTATAGATACATTTTTTTTTTTTTTTTTTATTATTACAAAAAGTATACAAAGATTCAGTTGTTCATTAACTTTGATCTATGGGATGAACTCATTAATGGTAATGATAATATTATTACTAATGAAACAAAACTCTAACAATCGTACTAATTAATTATACACTCGAGTAATATATTCGAGATAACAATTTTATATTAAATTGTGTCATAATCGACATAATCTATCTATGTAATATGTTTCAAGGTAATTAAAACAAGTTTGTTCGAAATTCGAAATGAATAATACGCGTTTATTCATTGTATAAATGACTGTACATAAAATATTAATATAAACCATACAATTAATAAAAATAAAAATAAGAAAAGTACTTGAGTACCTATAAATTGTGTAAGTACATACAGTAAATCGAAAAACTAATAATTTTGTATCAGGCTTTTGGTGATACATGACGTGTGCTGTGTTGAGAAGAGTGTTTAATCAACGGTTATATGTGAGGGTAAACAGTACACGACGACCGGACTTCTACGATCACTCAGTCGGACTCACGAATTGTACATAAAAAAAATCCAAGTAATTGCTACGCGTGAGAAAATTTTGTTTGACTGTTGTTACTGACGGATCTGAGATTCAGAGATTGTGGAAAAAAATACACGGTATACGTATTATTATGTTGTCGTACGTCAATGAAGTTACCGCATACAGCATAGGCATATAATGTACGCAAACAATAACAGGGTTCTGTTAGCGAAAAGATTTCCATGTGTGACGGAAAAGAATAATGCTGAAAAGGGTTTCGGTGCGCTGCGATTTTGATATTACCTGTAAAATATATTATATTATATTGTGAAAAAGGTCGAATTTGATTTAAAATATTATTTATAATATATCATGACGATGGTGAAATCCCATTCGGCAAACCGCGGTGGTATTGAGTTATCATCACAATAATAATATATCTGATATATTGTATTATAATTTATACGGTTTACGATTCGTGTTTTCGGTAAATATTTAGACGACATGTGGGCACGATGACCGGACACTGGTCGGTTTGGATCCGAGCGCGTAATCCGTGACGAGGGGATTTAAACGAAGAAATCGGCACGACGTCGTGAATCTTATTGTATACACACATCACACACGCACACACACACACACACACATACATGCATTACATCTATTATAATATTATAAAGACACTGTGTATGTGTGTGTGTGAAAGAGGCAATAATAATATTATCGTCGTCGTGCCGCGACGCGCCGGGACTCGCCGTCTGTACATAATAATAATAATAATAATAATAATATTATACGCATTACACACACGTCGGCGGCCGAGCACATGGCTGGGGTTTTATTATTATTTCTTTTTCTTTCGTTTTTATTTTTTCTTCTCCTCTCGCCGTGATTATTACTATTATTATTATTACTAGCGTGTGTTTCGTAGGTACGGCGGCGGGGGCGGCGGGTTATAGTAAAAACTGGCGCACGCGCAGTCGTGCTCGGCGGAAAAACAAACGCGCGGGCAACGGCGCACCGTCATCGGCGTCGTAACGAACCGGTGAGCGCGCGGGAGCAAAGGAGGCGACGATGACGACGACAACAACAACAACGGTCGACGAGCGCCGCGCCGGTGGCGGTGCGTTCGCGCACTACGCCGCCGCCGCGGCCGTTGCGCGCGCGCGAGGCGGTGATAGGCCGGAGCTGGTGCGCATGCGCGCGCGCGTCCGTGGATGACGTGCCGCCGCTGCCGCCCTTCCCCACCGACAACCATCCGTAATATAGTATACGTGACCTCGGCGCAGCGGTGACGCTCTTACCCGACTTACCCGCCGGACCCGATTCATTCTCTCGCCGTTCGCCGTACACTTTACACTCGCGACGCTCCGTTACGCGCTCGTCGTCCATTTTTTTGTTTCTGTACGTTTTTGTGACTGTGTGTGTGTGTGTGTGCCGCTTTCGACGCGACTTAATCATCGCTGTTTACGACGTCGTCGACCAACGGTACCCGGTGTGATTTTTTGATAATAGTTTATTTATTTGAAAAAATAATTTTTTTCGTCTCGCGTCCGCTGTGCGCCGACGTCAGCCCGTTTCAAGTTAGAACTCAAGTGAACTTTACCTCCGTCTGAACAGCAGCAGAGCTGCAGTGTGACGGATTAAAGTGCGCCCAACCTGCGAGCCAAATCGGTGACGGACGAGAAGGAGTAAACTTGAGCTAAGCGTCTATCAGGAAGACCATTATAACCGTCGTCCGACGTTAAAACTTTTACGGTACGTTCGTGTGCATTCGTTTGATTTAAACCCGTCGATCACCATGACCGTTACGTATGGCGTGACGGGAACGACCACCGACGGAGGAGGAGCCGTTAACAACGGCAGGAGAGTGCTTATGGCCAAAACCGATTCCCTGAGCAACGTCAACAACAACAACAACAACAGCACCAGCGTCAACAACAACAACAACGGATCTACGTCGATCACGGGCAAAGCGTCCGTGTTGAGCGTAAGGCGCGTGCTGTTCGGTCCGCCGGCCGATCCCGCAGAGACCCGGGCGTGGCTGGACAGACAATTGTACGCGGCCACCGCGGCCGATTCGCGATCGTGGAACTTTGATTTCGTCAACGAACGCCCGCTGCGCGACAGCCCGGCCGACCGTTACGCGTGGGAACGCGTCTGTCCGCCGAAGCGTCGCGACGAGGTGGCCGCAACGGACTCTACGACCACTGCGACAGCACAACAACAAAGCCGAATGGCTGGCAAGCAGCAGCGACAATCTAAAGTCACAGGTAATAAAAATAAATCATGATAAAGATAACAATATAATATTATCATCCTTTCTTTTTCTCCCGAACGAGGACGCGGGGTCCATGTAACGTTGAGACGGTTTTTTTTTTTTTTTTTGCAACGGTGGTTTCAGTTCGGATACTTTCTCTCTACCGCGTAACATAACGACCGTTGTCTCTTTCCTTTCCCGTGGGCGTATATTATATTAAATTATTCGTTTTTAACCGGCATTTGTGTGTGTGTGAAGTTTGAGCTCCCCCATCCGAGAACACAATAGGTGGCACCTGCGCGGTACGTTTGGGGTGCAGTGAACCTAAGGGTGCCACGCTACTGTGGGAAAAACGTAATAAAAGTCTCCAGCGGGATGGATAATATTGTTCGTTGGGGAGAAGAGACTACTTTTAATATTGCTTTTCGGAATAATTGTGCTTTTTTCCCCGATGTTTTTAACGTAGGGTATTATTTTTATTATTGGTTCTTTTATGGTCTGTAAACCCTTTTTTAAAAAAAATCGGTAAATCGCGTTACGAGCAATCCGAAGAAAATTCGCGAGATTGATGTGCTGCCGCCCACCGATTGGTTTCAGTCTATAAAATTCTTGATTACCATCCTTTTTGTTTGACTCGTCAAAAGGGTTATGTGGGGGGAAGGGTAGCCGTTATTATTTTGATAAACGGTAACGAATTAAGAAAAAAATATACATATATATATATATATATATTTGAAACTCACGGATAGAACTTGTATGTACGCGCGAAATGAATATTAATTATTATTACGGCGGCGACTGCAGCGGTATAGGTAGTAGTAGTACTGATGTATGATTGTGAAATGGCGCGAAAACGATTTCAGCGTCGAAAGACCTTGAATTTTTTTTTCGTAGGAACCGCGCATATTTTTTTTTTTTTTAGGTTATGTAAATTCATTATTATTAATATTGTGTTTGTGTTCGATTGTATACGACGTACGAGCGCGTACGAGGACATAATATTATTATTTTTTTTTTTCGACCCGAGAGAGGAGTGTCACTATACACTGTATATTTATACATACATACATACATACATGCTACATGGATCTGCCCATAGTAATATTAATAATAATAAGCTCGCGTTGCATATGTGCACACGTGTTCGGGAGACCGGTTTTTTTTTCGTCCCACACACTCGTACAAATACACATCACACTCACACACATATACGCCAACGCGCACATAAACATATTATACTATTATTATTATATATATATCTGTATATGCGCGTATTATTGTTGTTGTTGTTGTTGTACTTTGGGTGGGGAGAAGAACACGCGTATAACGACCGCTCTCGGGACGCGATGTGTAAATTGATGAAAAAAAAAAAGTATAAAATAAATGGCTATTGCTATAATATTATTATCGTCATCATATAGGTGTACCCCCTCTGCCGCTGCTCCGCGTACGCACGTACATAAGTGCACTACGCCAAATGGGCGTGGTCCAGAGAGCTGTGCTCGGTAATAATAATATTATACTATCGTTATTATCATTAGCGGCCGAGTTGTTATCTGTTTTATTTTTTATTTTTTTGTATATTGTATTTTTTTCGTCCCCCTCTTCCTCGGTTCCCCTCGCAACCACTGTTTGAGGTCGCTGCCCTCGGCCCGCTACGATGCTCGAGTAAAATTAGATCACCCCCCTCTCCTCCGCTCGCACTTGCGGCCCTACAGCCGTTGTCGTCGTAATGACGTGCACGATCCTGATTCGTATTTGTGTCGTACCAATATTATATTTTAAAATAATAAATTTAATAATAATAATTTTAGGTACTGATAATATTACTATAATATGTTTACTTATGCATACCTTTGTTTTTTTTGTTTGTTTCGTTTAGATTTCATGAGCAAAACCAAGAAACGACCGTTGAGTGTTGCCGACAGGACACTGCGCTCTAACAACAAAGTCTTGGACGAATCCGAGTCGGCAAACAAGAGGAGTCGCCGATCCGTCACGACGACGACGACGACGACGATGATGGCTATCTAAATCGAAATAGGGAATTAATGGCAGCACAGCTGAGTAAATATATGAAAACAAAAATTGATATAAGAATTAAAAAAAGAAAAAAAAATAAAATTTGATTACCCAAAAGTTTTTCACATTTTCGACGCAAAATTTCGAGATCTCCCAAGTATAGATAGTCTATAATAACTATAATATAATAATGATAATTTATATTTATATATAATCTTCTTCTCCAGGATTCTTCCTGATATCGCGCGTTCTTATATGACATTATTTTATGTGTATATTTTTTTTTTTTTAACAAACCCCATCGTTATTGTACAGATGTTTTTAAATTTTAAAAATTTTAAAAATTATGTATTTTTTTTTTTAAACAATTAATATTTATACTGTTTTGTTTTTTGATCTCCTTCACGAATATTGTTCGGTTTTTATCCACCGCCTATGCGCAGACCAATTTTGTTGTTTTATTTGTCTACGTTATAATACAAATTTAATGAAAAACTTATCTATTAGATGAAAGTTTTAAAAAAAAAACTTTTATCCACAATAATATAATTATAATACTACGTTAAGCATATTATAGCTTAATGTCTGTACGTTTAGTATTAGCTCTAGATTTTAATGTTAACGTGCAATTATACATTTAGCTTTTTAATTTTAGCTTGTTGAAAAAATCATAAAAAGAGTGGTAAGAAAAAAAACATCACCAAAGTGAAGGAAAAATTAAAAAGTTTTTCGTCAGACAATTTTTTTTATTCGTTTTTTTTTTTTTTTAATATGACGATCTTTTTCCATGATTTAATGTATTTCAATTTTCGAGAAGATCTCAATTTTAATGATAAAAATCCAAAGATTCAGTGGTCTCTTTATATCTAATTTTACAATGTCCAAAGAAATATCTGTCAAAATTTAATTCGCGAATCAAAATTTAATCCAAAGGTGATGTGTATTACAATCGGGTCTTCTACGCAGGTATGATATTAGCGATATTATTTATTATTTGATTCGTTTAACGGGCGTTGGTGATTTGCAGGGGGAGGGTATATCAGTGTAGATTATTCGCAGTATACATACATCACCTTAATTTATATTATCATATTATAACGTTTAATTCAAGCACGCCAAGAATTAATTTCAAATTTATGCACATCATAAGATAATAATTATAAAAACGAAATAATAATCTTTAAACAGAATTTTTTTTCAATATGGGACTGAAACGATCTCATTGTTTTAACTATTTTTTTACACAAGGTTATTTTGAACAAAAAATTTTCTCTTCTTTGTTGTGAAAATATCTTGTATAGACTAATTGTTTTTCTTGTTAGTAAAAAAAAAAAAAAAAAAAAAAAAAAAATGAAAAATAATAGCTCAAAAAATTGTTCCGCTCCGACTAGTTAGGGTGGATTTTGTTCTTTATTGTTAAAATTGTTTCTCTGCGTAGTTCGACCTGTGATGTATTATTTGTCTGATCTCATGAGGATGGATGGAAAAATTGATATTTTTCGTAGGTGCGAATGAATCCATTTTGTATAATATATTATTATTATTATTATTATTATTATATAATATGTTGTGTTGTAAGAGAAATGCATTTTTTTCAATTTAGATCGAATAACAATTTTTTTTATTTTATATACACATATATATATATATATATCTAATATATAATCGGTCGTTTTAATAAAAAATTTATATTTTATAAAAAAAAATTGTATATACAGTTTATATATATAGGACCGTGTTGTTTTTTTTTTAATCGACAGTTTTTTTTCTTTAGTTTTAGATAGACATTAGACGATACTTTAAACGTAGAAACTATTTGTCTTTAAGTTTTAGAATTGACATAATTATATTATATTATTATTTATTATATATGTAAAAAATATAATATATTATATATTTATGTAAAAAATATATACATATATAGTAAGAATTGAATTACTTATTTTAGTTTAAAAAAATATATAATAATATTTAAATATTTAATTTTTGTTTTATTCTATTTATACCGACCAATCACAGACGTCCAATTGAAAACGTTTTATCCTAACCTATCATATTTATAATCCATAACTCTGGTTCTTGTTTGTATTCCACAGCAGCTTATAACAGTCCTGGTGTAACATTGCCGTTTAATTTCGCCATTTCAACAGGTATTGGAAACACACATTTCACATTCCGTATGTCTTATGTATAAAAAAAGGAAATCTTTTCAATAGTGTGCAACGCCAATAAGTACGTTTTTTGTAGGTTTTGAATCGCCATCGATTTGCAGTAGCGTAGTGCAACTCAATGGATAAATCCACTTGATCACTATAACTTAATACTACAGCCTATAAAGTTTAAACAATGTATAAATAATTTGAGAGTTTTGTCTTATTCCACACCTCACAACATCGACTGTACAAATGAAAAAGTTGATAGTAAAACGCTAGTGGTTTGTATTAATTTTATATTATTATTTTACCTTAGTTTTGGTATCTACCACAGTACTTTAATAATTATGTTTTACAACATTTAATTTATAAGATGGATAGAAAATGTTATTTTTAATAAACTTCATTTACGTTTCACGTTTTTAAAAATAACAAAATAAAAATGATGTTAAGTACATATTTTACTCATCAAGTAAACACTTGATTAATTCTTAGAAAATTTTAAATTAAAATTATTATGTTTATTTTAATCTGTATAAAAATAAAGTCGTATAACAGCTTTATATTAAATACCAGCAATTATTATCAGGATTACCGTCTTTGATAACAACATTATTATTATTTTAATTTGTATATTAGACTAAGAAAATATGGGTTTTGATAAGAAAAGATTTAACATTAGGTACATAATCTGTTTTTATTTCTTTTTTCGTTATTTTATGTCTGTACTCGTAAAATTAATTTAATCAATTTAAAATGTTAACATCATTGACATTTAGCATACTTATACCAAACGTGGAAAATTATGCCTCAATAAAGTATGTATCATGAGATTCTGAACTCATGATAAGTAAGTATTTGTATTTTTATGTTTAACAATTGAAACTTGTGATTTATTTTAATAGTTCAAATCATGTTTGTCTTACTTGAAGAGTGATCAAATATAACAACTATGTGTAATAATTTTTTTGAAGAAAATTAAATATTATTTAATGATATTTATGTATCAGTTATTACAATTTTATTTTCTGTATGATTTCCCGATTAACTCTGCAATTCTATTATTACATCTACCGCAGGTCAACACTGCTATTATATTATTTCACGACAAATTTTCCTTCTATGAGACAAACATATAAACAGGTCTGCCTGAGAAAAATTCATTAGCTTAAAGTATAATAATAATAATGAAGAAGCGATACGGCTGCAACCCATATTACCTGCTTTCATCCATTTTTATTTTGTTTAGGGGGATTTGTCATTTAATTTCCTTGATATCTGTTGCTGAGTATACTTGTTTAGAAATACCTGGAGAATATTATTATAATTGCCTCTGATAAAATACTTACCATTATAGTCAATATTCATACCCTCTATAGACGTTTGAGGTTGAAAATAAAATTATAAAAATTATTCGTGATGACAATAACCGATTATAATTCATACCTAACTATGCTTAATATAACATTATAGTTGATCGTGTGTTAACGGTGAGGCTTAAAGGGCATTTTGAGCGCTTAATTCCCCCTGCTGCTGAAGATCACCTCAATCTCTACCAGTCCCGTAGCCAGACCAAATTTTCAGGTGGGGCAAAAAAAATTTTTTTAGAGGGAGGGCATTATATATAAAAACAATATTACTGCAGTTTTTAATTTATTTACACTGATATCTCATTAAATTAATATAACTGTAATTTTCCATTTAATACCCATTTATATAATAGAATATTTTGGGAATTTACAATGAAACATTTATTTTAAAAATGCAAGACGAATAATACTTATAAATAATAAAAATAAAACTTAAATTAAAGTTTACGTAAATAATTAAATATTACACTGATGTCACATTGTTAAATTTTTATGGTAATATTTGTAGGAGGCAATGCCCCTTTGCCTCCCTTCCCCCAGTGGCTACGGGCATGTCTTTTACCCGTGTCCGGATCATATATCTCTATGATACGAGAGAGCCCGTGGCAATCAATGGTATTATAATAATATGTAGAAAATGTTGTCGGTACGTTTCCGCTGGTCATATTATATTATATACGAATTCTATTCAACTTGTTACAATCGTTGTCATTGATCGACAATCGGCGTACATTAATACAGTCAATTTATCACAATAAAATTACGTGGGCGTTGATTATACACATATTGTAGCTCTCTGATTTAATAATATAATCGACGACTGTTGAACACATACGATACAACGAAAACAATTGCGACATTCAAAATAATATTATTTTATAGTATTATATATTAAGTTCAAGTGTTTCCACGGCAAATATTTAAACGTGCGAGTTTTTCAATAACAATAAGTTTTAATTTATAAAAAACAACAATTCATTACATTATATAATATTATGTTCATAATATGAGTCGACTCATTTTAAATATTATATAACGATTTTCCGTGAAAATATTAACAGTGATACAGACCGTTTGAGTCAATGTAAATACATTACATGCATCAGTGGCGCCGATCCCTGTCGCGGATGCAACATATTATATTAGGGTTATAAAGTGGGGTGGGTGCGCGGATAATATGTTAAGAGGATCCAGTAAAAAATAATATAATCATAGTATTTTTAGCAATTTTTTTCAACTTTATGGGAGAGAGCTTATTAAGAAGGCGTGACCGCGTGTTACTTAACACATAAAGAGTGAAATCAACCATGCCGACCGGCAAAACAGTATTCGAATTAAATTTAATATGTCATTAATTAGTAAAAGTTTTTTAATTTATACTTACTTCATCTTTACTGATCATTCTACATAATATTCCAGTGTGACCAAAAAAGGTCTTAAGATTTCAGATACTTGCAAGAGGCTGAGAGAGAAATAAAAAATGTTTGAAAATCTCGTCATCACTGATACGTATTAAAGTCCGGATACGTTGAAATACCAGCTATTTATTAACGGCCCTTTTCTAACTTTAACCTTTCAAACTACAAAAAAATTAACCACTATCTTACGGTTGTATGTTTAAAATAAAATAAAACTAAATATAAGACTAGCAAAATAATTATGTGATTATACCATTATTGATACTTTTGATTTTTTTATAGAACATTATTTATAGGAAGAAGCGAGCCATTAAAATCGACGAGTTCCAAATCCTTGCCACTCCCATCACCCACGCCCTTAATTCGGACTTGCGCATGTAAGTGTTTCTGATTTCAGCGTTTTCGGTATAAAATGTTCGTCAAGAACGATCTATTTTGAGGAACTTCAATGTAAGAATACACAAACGGTGAAATATTTTCATATTGATTACTAGTTAAAAACGGCGCTTTGAACATAATATTGCGATATCATTGTAATATCGTAGTATTACAGCAGAGTTCTTTTCTGCGTCGTATCGTTTCGTGAACCAGCGACGACGACTGGTCATGATCTATATTATTGTTGTGATGGAAATAATTATTCTTCTCGGACATGAATATTAATAATATACACAATGGTCGTGCTCGACGCTTTAATTTTCGAGACAGAGACTTTCAAAGACTACGT